GATGGATGGATGGATGGATGGATGGATGGATGGATGGATAAATGAAAGGATGACTGAACGAATGAACAACTTATATCTTTCAGATCCTGCTGCTCATCACGATTTCATGCGGCTTTGCGTGCTGTACTGGCTACTTCATCTACATTTCCATTGCAGCTCTCATCGTTGTAATCATCTTTTTTATCCTTTACACCTTCAATGTGGTCCACAAGTTTCCAAATACAAACTGGAAAAAAACGGTACAAACCAACGTTCATAGCCATGTATATACCTAACTTAGCCTTCAAAGTAGGCGTTCTTTGCGAAATTTGGTCGAACATCGCGGTTCAACAAAAAAAAAAAAGTGAAGGGGACGTTTCCTTTTTCTTGCTAGGTCCCATTTTTCTCTCGGGCATGTAGTTGAAACAGGAACCCCAAAACCTCGATTCTTCCCCAAACTCACGAGAACGTCTGCCGTTTACTTGATAGCGGAATGAGTTCCGTTCCGGAAAGAGTTAATCCCCCTTAATTGCCATATTTTCTTTGTATCTTTTTACATGATACCAGAGCGAAATTTTATTCCGGAACAAGTCATTCTGGAATGAGTTCATCCACATTTTCATTCCGGAACGAAAACGCTCGTTCCTGAACAATATTCCATAGCGGTATTATATAAACGTGGTACGAACACTCATTCCGGAATGAAACCGCTGTCTGTGAACTGACTGAAACGAGTAACGCATGAGTATCAGACATTTCAAACTTGAACTTGTTCTGTGGATTTTTCTCAAGTATTGATGGTTTTCAAGTCGGCCATGTTGGAGGAATTTAGCAAAAGAATTTTCAGTGAATTCTTTTGTTATATCCTCCAACATGGCTGCCGGTTTTCAATACGTGGTTTTGACTATGCATGACTTAAGTGATGCATCTCTTTAAATGCGCCAGAAAAGTGTTGTATATTTAATAATGCCTCCTATGACATCACACTCTTTAGCATATTGTTGATACCTCCAAGATGCATATACCCACGAGCGCAGCACGTAGTTTCACTGCGAAGTTTGGATCATATGCTGACGCCATTCCATGTTCGATAAGATGGCATGCAGAACATAGAAAATGTACTCCATTTGTTTTTTAACATAAAAACTCCCTAAAACGCATTTTTTTTAACGTTTTTAAGTGATCAAAACGACCAACGCTAAGAGGTCTCGCTCGTTGACGTCAGCTTATTGGTCTGTCGTCTTAATGATCATAAAAAATAGCCAATCAGAGCGCGAGAAATTAACGATTTGTAGTAAAAAAATTGTACCATCAATAATTTACTTCATGTAGAATCATTATATTGTTGAGAATATTAATCGTTTTTCTTTGCTTTAGGTGTTCATCGATTCTATAGTATTTGCCATACTGCTGTTGATTGGAATGGCATTGATAGCCCACGTGGCCCAGAGAGACTCTGCCAGGTACGATGTGGCCCTTCCAGCGTCTGTATACATAGCATTGGTGAGTTTAGAAACTATTACAGAGTGAATACCATATGTTCGTGAAAAGGTGAACTGAAATTGTACAAATTAGTGGAAAGTTTTGTAGGTCTACGGTCTACTGAGGTCTACTGAACTTACTAATTTGTACAAATGTGTGCAAAGTTTTGTAGGTCTACGGTCTACTGAGGT